CATTGCGCTGGCTAGCGCTGGCTACCGCTGGCTAACGCTGGCTAACGCTGACTAGCGCTGGCTAGCGCTGGATAGCGACAACTAGCGCTGGCTAGCGCTGGCCAGCGCTGGATAGCGACAACTAGCGCTGGCTAGCGCTGGCTGACGAGTAATAGCGCAAAAATTTTGCGCTGGATATCGATGGCCAGCGCTGGCCAGCGCTGGCCATCGCAAACTATCGCGTGCGACAGTGTCGCATAGCCAGCGACATCTAGCGCTGGATAGCGACAACTAGCGCTGGATGGCGACAACTAGCGCTGGATGGCGACAACTAGCGCTGGATAGCGACAATTATCGAACATATATATTTTGCGCTGGCCAGCGTTATCCAGCGCTGGATAGCGACAACTAGCGCTGGATGGCGACAACTAGCGCTGGATAGCGCTAGTTGTCGCCATCCAGCGCTAGTTGTCGCGTTTTGACTATAATCGCAAAAGAACCGATTTTCTATTTACTTACGTAAGTTACAAATTGTACTTATACTACTCCAGTAGCAGGGAGGGGTTGAGTGTGCACTTCGATGTATAGAGTTTTTTGCTGCTGGATATGGTTAAATAGGTCATTGGTAACTCAAATCACCGAGGGCCGCATGTTGTCTCGCTAGTCCCAACCCTGTGGAGCCACGCCCATATTTCATATCAGGTGCATACATGGGAAATTTGTATCTCAGCTTCTGAAGGTCTTAGAGACTCAAAATTGAGTTTGAGGTACGCAAATTCTATTACTAGTTTCAATCCTAAGGTGCAAAACTTCTAAATTACCCCCAGGCGCAAATATATGACTTTTCTATCTCAGCTTCTGAACGTCGTAGGGGCCTCTCTTTGAGCTCAAACTAACTGCAATGGCCACATTTATGTACTAACTACCTATAATAAAGGAACACAGGGTATATAGTGGTTAGTTTTTAGAAATTCATTAAAAACTGTTTAAACCTTCATGCATCATAAAAAATTAACATCAATGATCAAACATGTACTTAATTATGGTATCTCGGACTAAAAAAATCTGAGAGTACATGTTTGATGTTACTTTTTGTTACATTTTGTTTTCTGACAACTTAAAAGCTCAAAAATCTATCATGCCCCACACAAACCGTTTTTAACGTCCTACGTACACTAAAAACCCGATTCACCGTACAGTTTGCGGGAAAAGAAAATAGTAAATTGGAGTTTTACTGTACGTGGTTTCGAGAAAAAACGAAATCGTCAGAAACCTGTTCAGAGCGTGACGTCATGGTCGATATTGCGAAATCCTTATTAGAGGTCATTCTATTTCTACTGCGTTGATTTGACTATTTAATTAAGTTTCTATAAAGGAGGTGGTTGGCAGAACCACCTGTATTTAATTGCTATTGTTAGAGTAGTATTCTACCAGCTACCTATTCACAAAATTTATAATGTCATTTTATTGAAATATCACTATGATTTTAGCTAATCTACAAGCACTTACCTGGGGACCCCAGGCTAAGATTCGGCGGAATGGCCGGCTGCCGCTGAGCGCGGCCCAGTGAACAAGCACCTGCTCAAATTTCCTTTTAAATTCGATCGTTAAATCGATTCAATGATTTCTCTCCTAACAGCAGAATTGGCATTGCCATTAGTTCCATAATATATTTGATTTTGTTGCCTTCACAAATATACATGGACACGTTCATTGAAGTTTGAGGATATTGGTAAATATTAGTGACCCTACTGAATGGCACGATGATGTAAAATGTGTCACACTATGACACTATATAAACCCTTCATGGTTAGGATAATCGTTTCATCCTCTAGATAAACTTTGTCGCATAACGATATCTTTATCAGACGATAAGATATCGCTTAAATGCGGCCGGCAGTGAGTTGTAAACTTTGTCACACTATAAAAACGTGACAGAGTTTATATGGACCCCTTGTTGCCGTGTTTGACCAAATTTTCGAATTTCCAATTTATAGGATAGTTGCATATGACTATTATCTACATATTTAGCGACTTTTTACGTTAAATGGTAGCATCATGTAAACTCCGTCACACATTTAAGAAATTTATATGAGGGATGTTTATGACATCCTGACAAGAAATGCCGAATAATCTAGCATTATTTTGTGAGCTGAATGTGTTTGGAATTGTTCACATATTTCATTGTTATAGGCAAATACAAATACAGAAGGCAGAAATAGGTAAATTTAGTCACATAAATTTGTATGATATCTCAACATGTGTGAAATTGAGTAAATATTAGTATACCAACTTAAACACCCTATATTACGTACTATGGATCAATTAACAATATTTCAACCATACGCCGGTCATATAAATTATTATATGGCAGTGATATGTTAACATTGGACAAATTTCAACACCTGAACAGGGTAAAAATTTGTAAATTTCGTCACAAAAAAATATGATAACTTTATTTGCTATTTGTTGGCAAAATAACTAGTTTATCGACATAGGTAATATGGTGATAAAGTAACATTATATCATAATCGAGGTATGATTCTTCAAAATAGGGGGCAAAAAATGTAAATTTCGTCACATACGTCATTTTAAAATTTAGATACATTTTCTTTCATATCAATAGTCCTTATTATAGTTGGAATGGATTTATACAAGAAATGTAGAAACCCATGCCAATTTTTCATCACATTGAAATAATACTGTTGGGGCAGAAAAAGTGAATTTCGTCACATTTCAGTAACTTAGTAAAATTAAACTCAGCATTGTTAAACTTGAGTTCTAATTTGCTGAACAATAATCAACCAATAATTCCTGGAAGAAAATTGAATTTTAACTGAGGTATGGTTCTTCAAAATAGGGGCACGTGAACAGTCCTAATTACAGTATGAAAAGATTAATACAGAGGAAATATAAAAACCCCTGCCCATTTTATAATGTACGTAATATTATGTTAATCACAGACTATTTCATTCTATAATCATTGTTTCCAAATTTAACCTATTATGATGTCGTATCATTTTGTGACGATGTTTCATCAACTGCCCTATACTTGAATCAACTGTATCCGTGTATCGTCCTTATATAGAGATTCCCCGCAAAATGTAACCTATTTATGATGTCTTATCATTTTGTGACGATGTTTACATCAACTGCCCTATACTTGAATCAACTGTGTCCCTGTATCGTCCTTATATAGAGATTCCCCGCAAAATGTGACCTATTTACGATGTCGTATCATTTTGTGACGATGTTTACATCAACTGCCCTATACTTGAATCAACTGTATCCGTGTATCGTCCTTATATAGAGTTTTCCCGCCTTCCGAACCAAAATCAGATATAAATGATTATATATCAAATTCCATATTATGTGACAGAATTTACATCATTTCCCAATAACCAAGTGTATATATTTGCTAACTTTTTAAAACAACATATTTTAGGGCTATGATTGGCAGAAGAACCATCAAATAATGAGTTGAAAGGGTTTTGAGGACACCTCACAGTAGAAAAGAGTTCTCGTATTCTGAGTGTGACAAAGTTTACGAAATATTGCCTTAAAGCCGTTCGATCACTGCCCTTTAACCAATGTTGAATCATAATTGTTATATTGACCTAATCTACTATATTTTAGACCAAAAAATGCTGATCGGGCAGCTATGGTAAACAATGTCACAAAAATGTGACATTTTTTACATTATAGTGCCTAAAAGCAATACATTTTATTTCTGAGCGGTGCATATGGGAGTATGGGTCACGTGGCTAATGTTCAGAACTTATGAACATGCTAGATTAATAGATTCTAAAATTAAGCCACTATCGTCGAAAACGCTATTTTAGAAATTTACCAATATCCTCAAACTTCAATGAACGTGTCCACATATACTAATACAGTAGTAAATTATTTGCAGCTGACAAACCTGGTAATGAACACACCTGACTCAGATTTGTAAGCTTTGACAATAAAAAGAGTAATTTTTCTTTGCCAATCATACATAGTGTACATGACTACATGTGGTAAGCCAGTTTCTGTGCAATTCGAAATTGCATCAATTATTATTTTATTTTCGTTATTTTTAATTTAGGGGTCGTTCAAATATTACGTAATCAGCAGAGGGGGGAGGGGGTTTAGTTTCCAAGTTTAGTTCTTTTGGCGGCCAAATTCTGAAAAATGCCCGGCAAATTTCAGAATTTGGCCGCCAAATTTAAAGGACTAACTCAAAATTCCACTCCAAAACTGAAGGACATCAGGCAATTCTACGTTGATTCTGAAAATTTTATCAAAAGATATTGAGGGGGGGTAGGTTTTGATTACGTTTGATCACGGAGAGGGGGGAGGGGGTAAAAATTGCTGAAATATTGATTGCGTAATATGTGAACGACCACTTAGTTAGTTTGCAAGTTCAAAGAAAGGCCCCTACGACGTTCAGAAGCTGAGATAGAGAAGTCATATATTTGCGCCTGGGGATAATTTAGAAGTTTTGCACCCTTGGGTTGAAACTAGTTATAGAATTGCGTACCTTAACAATTCTGATGCAGAATGACCGTACAAAGGATCCTGCATTTATATAAACGTTGTACACACTGAACTTCATACTTAATTTCACTTAATTTCTAGAGCAGATGTTTAACTTGCGCCCAAGTGAAAATCAGTTTTTCTGAATTTTTTCCAAAAATAAGCATTTAGGGCTTTCATGACCTTCACATGAGTACCAATATAAACATGTGCATTGCGGTCATTTTAAACTCAATTTTGAGTCTCTAAGACCTTAGAAGCTGAGTTAAAAATTTCCCATGTACGCACCTGATATGAAATATGGGCGTGGCTCCACAGGGTTGGGACTAACGACACAACATGCGGCCCTCAGTGATTTGAGTTACCAATGACCTATTTGACCATATCCAGTATAGCAAAAAACTCTATACATCATAGTGCAAACTCAACACCTCTATGCTACTGGAGTATACTATAAAGTACTAATATTTCCTCATCATAAATTGTATTATATTTATATCTTCAGATGAGCTAATGTAAAATATGTGGCTCCAGGCAGCAGTTATATTCATCTCTGGGGCTTTTTGTTTGAGTGACTCATCGCTTGCTGCACAAAGTAAGTTGAAAACCTTCTTGTTTTTTTTTGCAGTTTTCTTTGCCCACGAAGAGTGCACTAATAGTAATCCTAATTCCTGAAACAAAATGATCAAATAAATCGCAAAATTGACGCTCCTTTTTATATTTTCTTGGTAGATCGGATATTTTACACACTAATCCGTCATTGAACGGCAACAAACCAGTTTGAAGGCCAACTAAAGTTGTAAGTTATAAAAACAACTATTTTTCATTCAATATTCTTATTAATTTCAGTTTCTGACTGTCGAATAATCAGTGTCAGAGGATACCTCAAAGAAGTTTGTAAAACCGATGGAAAATTCAAAATTAAATGCGCCCACTCCAACACAACTTACTTGACCTACAAAACCGACCCCAAAATATGCAACGAGTTGGGATTCACTGACGTTTGTGAGAACGATCCCTCTTACTATCAGTTCTGCGGGTTTCCACTGTGTGAAGAACAACGAATACCTCAGGAGGCTCCGATGGTATGTGGAGCGTTCATCTGCTCTAAGGTTTACAGCACTTCATGGGGAAGACGTTTACGACATCTAGGTGGAAGATCTCAAATAAGACGGTATGCCTGTAACGGTATAAAAGACTGCCTCAACACGGATATTGATGAACAGGTCTGTTCCAATGACACAGCTTGGTGCGAACACAGCTACATGGACAAAGTAGACTCCCATAAACTGTGTGATGGAAACTGTGACTGCATGCTCTGTCAAGATGAACTAGAGTGCACAACCAATGCCTCGTTCTCCGGCACAATATGTCAAAATACGTTCTACAGTAAAAGGATGGGAAATCAAATAGGAGACTCCTCAAATTGGTATGTACCACCAGCGGCTATTTGTGACGGTTTTATAGATTGTGTTGTACCTTTGGCAGCTGACGAACAGGAATGCTCATCAGAAAAACATTGCACAAACTCGGATTTATTGGGTGCGAGGAAGATAGCGCTTGTCCCCGGAAATATGTGCACTGTCCCCAATCCCAGGTTCGAAGTATGCAGCAACTACATTGACCAGCTGAACTGCTCTCATGCGTTAGAATCTCCTCTGGTCTGCAATGTTGAGGGTTATGCCTCATTTGTGTCAAAGTACGCTCTCTGTAAGGGAACTGACTTGTGTGATGATGGAATTGAGAACTTGTGTGTAACCGCCGAGGGAGGGTGTCATATACACAAACACCAACTCTGTGACGGTCATGAAGATTGTAATTCAGGGCTTGATGAGAGCAAAGAACTGTGCTTAATGACGAAAATAAGTTGCCAGCGGAAAATGTCCTACAAACGGACACAAGAGGTAACCATTCCGATGTCTTGGGTAATGGATGGAGTTGAAGATTGTCAGAATGGAGTTGATGAAGACTCCTCCCAGTGGAAGTCTTGTGGATATGGCTGGAAAACCCGTTACACCGAGATGGACGCTTCGTGTTTTGAGGTTTTTCTCTGTCAGAACAAACAGTTAGTTGAGTTTAGCAACCTCTGTGATGGTATAATATCGTGTCCAGACGAGAGCTCTGTCTGCAAAGCTTCTCGATCTAAAATTGACGTTTTTAGTAGTGTCTTGCGGAACAAAGATGGGCTAAGAATTGGTCATATTCTTCCGGGTTTACATGAGCTGGAAAGACAGATTTCTCCCGGATATACAGACGAATATGTTGCTGTGGACATGCCGTTTGGAGTGTTACCTCAACCAATACTTCGACCAAATAACACCAAGTATGACTGCAGACATGTTTATGGAGAGATGTATGTTTATCTTAGTTGTTTAGGGGCCTGCCAAAAAGCTGAATGTATTGTCAAAAGAGTCCTTCATGATTCATGCCACAACATAAAAATAAACCGATTCTTTACTCTGGCGAACAATTCATATCTGACAATTGCAAGACAAAGAGAGGGAAGATATGTTAGTGATCTCTTCGCATGTGATAATGGATTTTGTATAACATATGATAAAGTTTGTGACCTTGTGGATGATTGTGGTGACGGGTCAGACGAGGTAAAGTGTGTAAATAACTTTCAATGTGGGAATGGAGAGTTTATACCAATAACGAGCCTGAGGGATGGCAGTATTGACTGCTCAGATTTCTCTGATGAATGTGTTGATCAAACTTCAGGGTCATCGAAAATGGACAATAAATTAATACGAAGTAGAGTGTTATCCTTCTTTGCTTGGTTAATAGGATCCACAGCTATTCTGTTGAATCTTGTCATCATTTTCAGATCCATCACGGATATAAAAGGCTGCCAAAGTCCAATAAAACTAATCAACAGAACAATGGTGTTAATGATATCTTTTGGTGACTTCCTCGTCGGATCCTACTTGGTGGCGATCGCCATTGTAAATGTTCAGATCGGAGAATCATATTGCAGGACAAGATACAGTTGGCTCACCAGTAACAATTGCGCAACACTCGGTATTATAAGTTCATTCGGGTCTCAGGTGTCACTGTTTGCCATGACATATCTGAGTCTGAACAGAGCCTTCACCGTCAGACGGATAACAGGGAATGAATCTTTAACAATGTTCAAAACTGTAAAAGTGGTTATATCCATTACAGTAATGATCTCTATCTCCTTATTCATAGCAATATTCCCCCTTCTTCCATCCCAAGAAGATTTCTTCGTTAATGGACTGCACTATCCAGATCAGCCATTATTTGTAGGAGCCCCATCCAAGCAGCACTACATTAATATCATTAGCAGCTACTATCATACCTTCAATGTACGCAGTGGTATGACGTGGGCGACAGTAAGGAGGCTGATTGAGAGCATGTTCACTAACGATTACGGTGGAGTGAAGCCTACTAAACTGCACTTCTACGGTAATGACGGGGTTTGCTTGTTCAAATACTTTGTTACACCTGACGACCCACAATGGACCTACACTGCAATTATTCTGTCTGTTAACATTATTTGCTTTGCTGTCATTACAGCCTGCTATATCTTCATTCATTCTCTGTCAGTGCGATCAGCCAAGTCAACTACAGCTGCAAAGACTAAAAACAACCAGAGCAAGGCAAACAAATTCCTGGTAAACAGGAACAGAGCTCTTCAAAAAAAGTTTCATTAATAATCTTCACAGATTTCCTGTGTTGGATTCCTTTTGTGTGCACAAGCTTTCTTCATTATCGTGGGATTGTTGACGCTTCCCCTTGGTATGCTGCCTTCTCTATTGTCATTCTTCCGATTAACTCAGTTATCAACCCCCTACTGTACGATAACTTTGTGCAGCTGATGTGGGAGAAAATGAAATATAATTTACCAGACAATCCTCTTAGTGAGAAAAGCAAACAACCCACAGTATACATTGCTGAAAACTGCTTGTCGCTGGAGACTAAGGTTTTAGTGGTTGATACTGTGCAGAATTTAGCTGCTCCCAGTATTGAACTTGCCAATGTTCCTCACTCCACAGCGAACAATCAGTATAGTAATCTTGGTCATACTGAAAACGTAGAAGACACCAACATGTAATCTGATCTTATTGATATGATGAATAATATTTTTTATTTTTTATTCGATAGTGTACACGTTTTCATAATTTAATATTATTGATTTATTGTCGAATTTGTGGTTTGATTACTTTTAATACCAAATTACCATCGATTACCCAGTTACAAAAACAAAAAACGAGCCAATCCACAATCAAATTGAACGAGCCAATCAAATTGAACGAGAAATTAAAAATAAATAACTGAAAACCGTGCCATTTATTGCTGGAATTAAAGATAATATAACCAATAACATGATAAAACTAATCGCAGGGATATATTGTGTGATGCGCTGTGGAGGTCAATTATTAATGATGACAATAGGGTGCCCAAACTTGAGTATAACAGCTGGCGGAGATTTCCGGTTTATTTGTAGCGCGATGTGTTACTTTAACGGGTGATACTGATACTCGTAAAATATATGTTCCATATTGCATATTAGTAGAGGCTCTTACGGGCAAAAAGACGTGTTTTCTGCTACGAGTTTAGAGACCTAACCGCTAATTGGACACAATAGTATGATGTCTAAGGATCGATAATATGTTAAGAAGTATAAATTTGGCCTTATTAGTCACGTGCTATACCAATGCGCGTTTTAAACTTTGACAGTCTATTACTCTAAGGCAAATAGAGTAATCATATTCATATTTTGTCAGCAATAAGATCACATTATTTTCTATTTAGTGTGAAAATATGAGCTAGAACGGACATAATCTCGCTGAGTTATATCTGTTTGAAATTTATGATGAACGCGCGGGTGCCAATTGATAACAACTAAATGCTTTTGCGCGTAGTGCGCGTCGAAAATTTGGCAAAAACGCTTGCGGAGTGAAAATATTCAAACTTCGATAAAGTATATGAAGTGGGTACTTCTCGGAAAGGAACAATTTAGGCAAACACGATGTGACTATTTTTGGGTTGATTTAATACAACTGCAAAAAATTATTCAAACTTCAAGCAAAAAAGTCAAAATTTTTACCACTTTTTTGGATTTTTACCTCAGAACAAATAGAGGGATTTGTTTTATTTTTATACAATCTTGTGCGGCTGTCTTTTAGCTATCTTTATGCAAGTTTTGCCGATATGCCAACAAAATTAACTTGCTCAAAATATCAAAAAACATGGTTTTTTGGTCTATTTTTGGCCCAAAAATCGGTTTTTTGCGATTTTCCCCCAGAACAATCAGTCCAATCATCTTGAAACCACTTTTAATCGATTCTACGGTCAAAAATACGTCTAGTAAGGTGTATCTGGGGTCCCTAACGTATCGAGCAGACAATGCCCGTAAGAGCCTCTACTATATACATATACAGGACCGTCGACGAGTCCATGAACTCGGCACGCGTCCTGGTAGGTTGTAACATGTAAACCTACAATGCGTTACTGTGCCGCGCCGCGCACTGATCAATGAGGCTTCTCGCGCTAGATCGGCAAATTCAAAATTGCCCTACTGTGCCGCGCCGAGCTGCGATGAATTGACATCGTCAATTAAATTTCCGCGCCGCGAATATCTTTAAAAAAATCAAACTACAATTATACTTATATGCTCTTTGTTCCTGGTAATACCAAAATCATGAATTCGATATTAACGGGTGCACCACTGATCCATAAAAAATTTGTTTCTGCATAACGGTACGAGTCGAGTACAAAATTTGATTCGGCGCGCGTCTTGGTAGGTTATACACTTATAAATACGACACTGATTTTTTTCGTTCATAATTTTTGCGAAGCAAAAATGTTAAATTAAAGGTTATGAATAGTCGTTTTTTGTAGCGCAATGCACTACTGCCACTGGGCTGCGCCGCGCATCTTTTAGCAACCACAGTATGCAGATCGGCGAGATGCAAAGGATTGCGACATCGTGAATCAATTTGAATTACCAAACCATGGTGTAAATAGTAGTGGCTTTCATTAGAGCTGCGAAAATAACACGAGTGTATATGCCTGTACTGGGGTTGCGTCCCGACTATACTGCAGGGAAATCTGTATACCGAAAGGACCGTGGCCGAAATGCAATTAGACAGGGAAATCGGCTTTCCGACTGCGGTCGACCAAATGGCAAATTCTTATTATTACTAGTAGTAGTACTTTGTAGCACTTGCTTGTATCACGTCGTGACCCTTATTATTGTCATTTCATTTATAGTGACTTCATTTTCAATTCTACCGGCCTAACTATGAACTATGCTTGATGCTTGTCAATTGTTAATGGACTAGCCCGGCGCGCGCTACTTCGTAGCACTTGCCTCAAAGAAATTTAGACGAGTAACATCCGTCAATAATTATGCCCAACCGTGCATCACTATAGCTATCGGCAGATAGCTGAAAGTTCACCTGACAGTGACACCCTTGCTAGAGGACGCAGAACCGTGACGTAACGTGGTGAAACTGAACCTTACCTGGGCTTAGTCACTAGTGTTTATACTTATAGACTCTAAGAATGAATGGCGGAATGACCTCGATGATATTTTGGCCAGGTAGTCCCGTAATCTTTGGGTTCATAATTTACCTGAGGACCCCAGGCTATTATTGATTATGTTCATTAACATAAAGATTTGGCGGAATGACAGGCTGAGCGCGGCCCAGTAACTTTCTGACTGCGGTCGACCAAATGGCAAATTATTATTATTACTAGTAGTAGTACTTTGTAGCACTTGCTTGTATCAGATCACGTCGTGACCCTTATTATTGTCATTTCATTTATAGTGACTTCATTTTCAATTCTACCGGCCTAACTATGAACTATGCTTGATGCTTGTCCATTGTTAATGGACTAGCCCGGCGCGCGCTACTTCGTAGCACTTGCCTCGAAGAAATTTAGACGAGTAACATCCGTCAATAATTATGCCCAACCGTACATCACTATAGCTATCGGCAGATAGCTGAAAGTTCACCTGACAGTGACACCCTTGCTAGAGGACGCAGAACCGTGACGTAACGTGGTGAAACTGAACCTTACCTGGGCTTAGTCACTAGTGTTTATACTTATAGACTCTAAGAATGAATGGCGGAATGACCTCGATGATATTTTGGCCAGGTAGTCCCGTAATCTTTGGGTTCATAATTTTGGTACTGAATCGAACTATTTGTTAGAAATAGAAATGTTTGGAGGCTGGGGTAGTGTCGTCATCTGTGCACACTCCAGAAAAAAGAAGCATCCCCTTGGTAATCTGCAGACCTATTTGTTTATTGTATCACGTTGCGACCCCCACGGTCGTTTCACTTGTCACTATCGTCCTGACGATACAGGGGGAGCCGCGCACTTCGTGCGCGGCGGGTCACACAACGTATGACAGTTTGTTTATGTTACTTCACTACTTCTACTTTTTCATCAACTTGAAATCATCAGAATGCGTTTAGAAAAGAAAATGCTCCATTATATACAAAAGATGTATCATTTTATAATATCAGTAAACTGAACCTAACTCAATAATTTAAACTTCTATTTCGTATTTCGTATTATGTTCATGGGTTTTGTGTGTCGCTGTGTACTGTGTTGGTGATTCGAAATTTGTTGTCGGTTAAAATGTTCAAAAACGATTTAACAACACCATAGGCATATGTTAATAGAAGCGATTGGTTCTACTTTTATTCTTGAATTAATCTACACAGTATTAGAACCAAACTACTTCCATTGACCAAATATGGTATTATTTAATCCTTTTAAACCAACCTTTTAAACGACCGATATAAACACGAAAAAGGCACGCTCTTGAGCATGAGATTATGGTACAAAAATGGTAAAATTGTTCAATTTGCTTACACTGAAACGGAGATAGTCGTGACTCCAACAAATTCTAACCAAATTCTAACCATCCACTTATCCACTAGTTATGATCAGAAACCTAGAACACCAAAGGTTCTCAATTCTCAAGATATTATTAATTATTTAATTAATTATTAATTAGCCCTCTCTCACAATAAGTTCCACATCACCCAACAAGTGATCTCAACAAACAGTTAATAGACAGCTTCTCTAATCTTTACGGTATATAGCATGATGAGCTACAAAATCATCAGCAGGTAAATGATCAGCGTACTCCTCAGGCGCTTGTAGCTTGTTCAATCTAGCTCTGAGAGCGTCTGGATCTGCTAATCCTTGCTGGAGTCTCATCTTGTAGCCTTGGTCTAGTCTGTTGTTCAGGGTGTTGTACCACTGTGGGAAGGCGAGGGTTAGTTGAGGTTAAGGGGACATACACCAAAACCTTTTTTGCCGGGACCCGGGATTTGACTTCATATTATGACTGACTTCTCAAAATTTCCAAAACTTTCGAAAAAGAAAATAATTTTTTTTTCGAATGTGCGTACTCTCAAAAATTTTTTTCAATGCCTCAAATCTTACAGTTGTAATCTATACTTTCATAATATGAAGTCAAATCCCGGGTCCCGGCAAAAAAGGTTTTGGTGTATGTCCCCTTAATAGGGGAGGGGGGGTGGTGGAGATTGGAGAAGAGGCGATCAATTGGGAACAATTTGTCGTGTTGCTCATGATTTGGAATGCTCTGCACAGACATCACGGATGCAATTGTAACCATTTCAGCAGTAAAAAGTAGAATTTACTGGAATCATTGTACACAAATAGTTTGAGAACAGTAAGATTTCACACAAAAGTGATAGGAGTGTCAGAGTGACTCACATTAGTTACTTTAGTTACTATAGTTACTAATTAGTTTATATAGTTACCAATTAGTTATTATAATTACTCACATTAGTGTTGAGACCAAGTTTCTCCCAGTTCTTATAGCAGTAAACCCACGTCCACATAAAGGGACCAGCTAGGACGAAGAACTGAAACAGAAACACAGTTATAAAGTGGTAAAGTGAATTTTTAGGTATTTTATATGCTCATAAACAAGTTGACGGAAGATTACGGGAAAAACGAAAGGAATTACAATTTCCTGTATTTTTACAACCCAAGCAAACCTAAAGACGACTATATTAACAAATAACTTACCCCTGCGAACTGCATGTTTCTCTTTTTAATGAACCAACTGAATCGGAACATTCCATTCTCCCTTCTGCCACGACCCATGCTTCACTAGTTACTAGTGTCAGTAAGAAGTTACTATGGTTACTATAGTTACGATAGTTACTATAGTTACTAGTATCAGTAAGTGGTAATTTATAGATTTTGACCAGTCATAAAACATCAGCAGATATATACATAATGCAAACTAGACATATAAATAAATTAAAAGTGAAAATTATTCAAATACATCAAAATAAATACAATATCAAATTATAATACATTTAACACAATCAATGCAGAAAGAGGGTATAACTATAAATGTTTTCCGCCTCTATGGATATGAATTAGATGGCTAGATACATAAAGGTCAAACAGTAACTTGCAATAAAAACCAATTACACACATGATCAATACGTGAAACCTTTTTCGAATTTAGTGCTAATATAAAACAGTGGGCGGGTGTCATCCCGCTGTTTATGAGGAGACAAAGCAAAATAATAGTTAATTTATGAGCGCTGAAAAAATTTGAAAATTCTCTGAAATCTGGGCTATTATAATTTTAGTAAATTATTCAATGATCATCTGACCCATTGTCCATGTAACCATTTCCCTGACTATTCTCCGAGTTAGTTCTCCAGTATGGACTCACCCTCTGCTCTGCTAACAAACTCTTAATCTCTTCATAATAGAACATTCTAGACTGTACGGTAGGGAAATGAGCGTTGAGAGGGGAAGTGTTAGTCATCATGTAGAACACACTAAAACACCCCTCCAACTTGTAACTCTGCCGCCCACTCTTCACATCCTTCATTTTCTCTCCCGTGAACCGGGAAAATATCTGCTTACTATTGAACACAACCACCATCGGGTTATATTTTATCAGTTTAGCACGCACCTCCCTCACTCCTTCATCAAACTCTTCGTCTTTAAGTTCGCTCTGTGCACGTGTACACCGACTAACAATGTCAGTAAACCCGATACTTGTCTCCAAACTTAAACAATCCTGATCGTTCTCAGGTCCGAAATTTGAGGGAACCAGGCCGGACTGTACAAGACAGGGCCAGAAATGGTTACCCTTCTTTGAGTAGTAGTGACCCTTGTATGCAGAGTAAAGACCTGGGTTGATCCCCACGAACAGAAGGGAGAGGTTGGGTCGGATCAGTTCCGGAAGGGTTCTAGATCTTATCTCCTCCTCAGAACAGCCACCAAATATTGGGCCTAGTTTCTTAGGAGATGAGCGGACTTTGGCGGACTTTGAGCTGACTTTCGGCATTTTTTGTTAAGTGAGTTATGGAATAGAGCCAGTAATCATCCTTCTCATCTTCAGTCGCTTTTGCTTCATGCTAAACAAATAGAGACGAATTAGGTAAGTATGCTGAGATTTAACAGCTTAAATAAATCACATGTTGCCAGATATATTGAATTACAGTGTTAAAATGAAGTGAAAACTCCACGGAGGATTTGTTCCCTTTAAGATCTGTTAGAAGTTATGGAGGAAGTCAAACTAATAGACAATAAAACAATATAATTAAAAGTATAACCGCAAAAAAATAAATAAAATGAAGTCTTAGCCAACCTTGTAAACATCAAGACTGTAAAGATTAAACCTCAACAGTTGTAAAACCACGGTCAAAAACACGAAATGTAGTTAAATTTTTACGACATTGACGAGCGTTTTATTGAAGAAGATGTGAAAGCTGGATAACATTTGATAACAAAGAAGTTGGGCGGTAGGTCTCTCTGAATGAGAAAGCAGTTGTCATGGTAACCAGTGAAGGGTGAAGTTCATTGGTAATAGAGCTCCAGGTTCATTCCGTCGTGAATCTCGTAGTCACTCAGCATCACGTGATCCTGCGAAAAAGAAAGTGGTCAAAAAGGAGAAACCGCCTGACATGCCCTGATTCGGTATTTGTGTCATAAATGAACTTCTGACTCTGTGATGCACAAAAAAACACGTACTTAAAAGAGAAAAGATTCCTCAAGTACCAAAATTTCCGGTTGTAACATTGCCAATAATAAATAATTACAATATTACAACACCAACCTAAATTACGTGGTAGACTAATCAATAATGAATAAAACCTTACTAATGACCAGGCATAGGGGTGGGAGGTGGTTGCCATGGTTACATTCCGTTGTCATAGATATTTTCGCAGCTTGTTAGGACGGCCGGTGTCCAAGTGAAGGTAATAATTATTGTACTTAAGTCAGCCGGTTTGCGTTGTGTACTTTTAAGTGTAGTTTTACGTAATCTTTCATACTCATCGGAGGTTGCAGTTACCTTATTCTCAAATGCAGTATAGGATAATTTTCTTGCCTAAAAACATAAGTGGAAATGTGTATCTATGTTTTGGCGATTTGATTGGGCCGTGTATTAATATTGAGTCTCATGATTCGATGTTTCTTTCGTTCAAATTTCTGATTGTTTCTGGACTCAGTGAAGACAGATTCTAATATTTATTTCCATTAGAATCTGTCTTCATTGAGTCTATTCAGAAACAATCAGAAATTTGAATGAAAGAAACCTGTTTTGGCGATGTAATAGAGAGCAGTCGAGCGATCAAAATACTTTATTCAGTTCCACTGGTTACTACACCACTACCCCTGGTTAGTGGTTAAATATCTCGTGCAAATCTGGAAACACGTGACACGAGGTTTAGGACATGTCTTACACCTGTGGGCTGTGACGGTGACAATAATCTATTAATAGATTATTATTTAAGCGAGAACAAAACCTTGACGTCAGAATCGTGTCAAACTCTGGTTATTTGGAGATAAAATATCTTTGTTTCTTACCACACCTCTTAAAATACGACACCTTGGTTTTTAGGACACATGATTACTATACAAGGTCACAACTTTTGGAGTTATATAAAGAACTAACTGACTGAAAATGGCCAAGATTGTTTCACATGTAATTTTACCTTGAAGATAGTGTACCATTTCTTAAGTACAATTCTCTCCCATTTTGTTCCAGTCTGAGCGGCTATTAGTTTCTTAAGGTCCCCAACTGTATCATCAGCGTTACACTTTACACGCACTTTCTTACCCAGCCTGTCATTACAGGTTATCTCAATCATACTGCTACAGTGGGTTGGTGATTAGTTGATATGTTATTAGTTATTGTCGTAATATTTATATTATCAGTAAATACCGTTTACTGATGCATCAATCGGATAAAATAGAAAAATTGGGAATATTAGATATCAACAAACTTTAAATAATAATTCAATAATTGGTTGTGATGAAAAATGAACAATACAGTCAGTTAGAAAAATAACACACTAATCAACATCAATATTGAACAATATAAAATATTTACAACAACGAATAAATTAAATATTACTAAACAGATCATTTTCAAACTTGGAATATTTAAAATGCTGATGACTGCAGCTCTGGCCTCATTCACAAATACCAAGGTATCGTATAAGTATGGGAAATATTAGCCATATAAGCAAGCTTTGCCCATATAAGGATGCACTAAGCTATGCCCAAATAAGGAAGCTTCGTATCGTCTGCAAGCAGTAAGTTTTAATGAGGCGACGAGTAGCAATTAATCAGGTCGCTCTGCAGTACAATACAACGTAGCTAGTACACAGACCGCTCCTGTACAGTCTTCTTGTAGTATTTCTCTCTTTTACTCTCCGCCCAGACTCATCTTATATCCTGATTAGTGACGTCATATCCTGATTAGTGACGTCATATCTTGAGTTCTGAGTTGAGTTGTGATGTCACACTATTAAGTATTTTTTAAGACTCTTGCTATTATTTTGTTTGCTCTTCATCACTTTTCACAGCCTTCTCACAGACTCGTCAAAAATATTCCGACTTTTAACATACGATCGAGCGAGGTTCGGTTTGCTTGGGATTGGCAAACAATTCTCTGCTCAGTTTTTTCTGATATCTTTTTTTACAATCGATGAGTACCTCATAAAAACGAGTAAGGGTTCCTACCGGCAGAAATACAGAGCTATGCCCATATAAGGAAGTTTGTCTAACAGCAGGGTCTTATAGTCTGAGGGTTGTAACTCCCCTGAGCAAAACGCTGTCTCACGAGGAAGGAACTGACCACGTCAGCTACCTTCTCCGGTAGATCCTCCTGAACGCTGTGTCCAGCAGTGTTGAACATCTGGACCTGGAACTTCCCCTGGAGTAGAAACTTGGTTGTCGTTAATTGAACTTGGAACCTTCCCCCTAAATTTTACAGTGAAATATACATAGATTCGAGATTTGGTACTTTATCTTAGATATATAAAGGATTTACGAAAAATGTACGAAAATTCGTAAGAATAGTAATCGCGAAACCATTTATAGGATCACGTTGCATTAAATGACAACTTAAATTATAACTTCACTTTTCGTCTTTATTAATTTGTCGTTTTATCTAATTCCTCCCAGCGTACAATTACTCACATTGCACTTAATATAAAGGAACAGAATTTATCGGCCTAATTGCAAATGCTTTGAAGAGTATCAATATCATAATCAGCTTAACTCCTCTTCCTTTTGTTTCAACGCGATGTTTTTAGTATGTCAGTGTATGTTGTCTGGGTGTATTTTTTATTTTTCTAAAGAGAGGTCGGAGGCTGGACCTAGATAGCCCACGGAAGGATAGCACGAGGATGTTCTGTCTGCCTCTGGGGTATGGCAACTCTGAGGGAGGTTGCCGGAGTTATCTATTTATAGTATATTAGTAATGAAACGGTTAATAACCATTTTGATAATCCACAGTGCTGTGGCCAGGTCCACTTTCGTGGCCTTGATAGTTTCAGAGATGGCTTTGAAAGAGACGTTATCAAAGGCTCCATCTATGTCTATAAAAATCATAAAAAAACTAAGACAAAATCTTAGCTATTCTACGTTCAATAGTGTGAGTAACTTTATGTAGGGCCGCTTCTGTCGAGCAGCCTTTGTTAAAGCCGAATTATTGTCTGTTGATATCGTAAGCGATATTAAGGTCAAGTTGCATATTATGCCTGTTTGAATGTATATTTTACGTTTGTCTCTGTATGTTCGTACGTTTGTCTGTATGTTAATTGTATGCCTGTCTATTTGTATGTATGTTTGTGCTTGTATGTTTGTCTGTATATTTGTACCTGCATGTGAGCGCGAGTCAGCTCTGTATCCAATCTATCAGGTCCAGCTAAAAGGAGTAGTTTTGGGGTGGGCACTGAGAGAAAGAGTTTGCTCATCCCACTGTACCAGCCGGACCAGTATTTCTCACTTGCGGCTAAGTCTACCTGGACGGGGATTTTATTAATTAATACATCAATTAATTGTTTAAATCTTGATTCTTATTTTACTTCAGTCCAAACAGCTGTATGGTGATATTGTAACTGGATAATAACATGAGCCGAGGGTACATTGTGCCAATATATAAATTATAATCAATAGATTTTTTATCGGATCTAACTTTATTATTATATTATTATCCTGGACCAGGCAAAAGTCCTGCTCACATTGGGACGTCCGCTCGGTTTCTCGATGTAATCCGACTTATATGGTCCTAAATAACACTAATTACTCGGGTACACTTTTTCACCAGTGGGGCATTTCTCGGAATCACGCCCTTTTTGACCGCGCCCATTTCGCAACCCCCACTATAAATTATCTCAGCTTCTGATTGAGATACAGACCTTAGACATATAATACCAAAATGTGCCTAAGATGCATGTTTATATTAGTGCTATGAAGATACTTAAGGCCTAAGAGACTTATTTTTTGAGAAATCGCCAAAAGTCCGATTTTACTATATAACAGTCTCGCAGTAACAATTATTACACTTATTTCAAGATATCTCAGCTTCTGATTGGAGCTAATCGCTCATCTTGGGCATTAAAATGGTCAAAATCATCATATTGAGTGGGGTAGAGCATGGTTTTAAATTCTTGAGACTTCAGGTTGTTGAGTTATTAGGTCAGATCCCATTTTTATGCTCTCGCGAGTAGCGATTGATGCACTTATTTCAAGATATCTCAGCTTCTGATTGGAGCTAAGCGTTCATCTTGGGCATTGAAATGGTCAGAATCATCACATTGAGTGGGGTAGAGCATAGTTTTAAAGTCTTTAGACTTCAGGTTGTTGAGTTATTAGGTCAGATCCCATTTTTACGCTCTCGCGAGTAGCGATTGATGCACTTATTTCAAGATATCTCAGCTTCTGATTGGAGCTAAGCGTTCATCTTGGGCATTGGAATGATCAGAATCATCACATTGAGTGGGGTAGAGCATAGTTTTAAAGTCTTGAGACTTCAGGTTGTTGAATTATTAGGTTAAATCCCATTTTTAAGCTCTCGCGAGTACGATTGATGCACTTATTTCAAGATATCTCAGCTTCTGATTGGAGCTAAGCGTGCATCTTGGGCATTGGAATGATCAGAATCATCACATTAAGTGGGGTAGAGCATAGTTTTAAAGTCTTGAGACTTCAGGTTGTTGAGTTATTAGGTCAGATCCCATTTTTATGATCTCGCGAGGTTACAACATATTTTTACACTCTCGCGAGTAGCGATTGACACACTTATTACAAGATATCTCAGCTTCTGATTGAAGCTAAGCGCTTATCATGGGCATTAAAATGGTCAGAATGATCAAATCAAGTGGGGTAATGAATGTTCCTAGGGCTAGAGGTTTTAGTGAAATTTTATTGATATTTCTTGGCAATCGCTACTCGCGAGAGCGTAAAAATGGGATCTGACCTAATAACTCAACAACCTGAAGTGTCAAGACTTTAAAACTATGCTCTACCCCACTCAATGTGATGATTCTGACCATTCCAATGCCCAAGATGAACGCTTAGCTCCAATCAGAAGCTGAGATATCTTGAAATAAGTGCATCAATCGCTACTCGCGAGAGCGTAAAAATGGGATCTGACCTAATAACTCAACAACCTGAAGTCTAAAGACTTTAAAACTATGCTCTACCCCACTCAATGTGATGATTCTGACCATTTCAATGTCCACGATGAACGCTTAGCTCCAATCAGAAGCTGAGATATCTTGAAATAAGTGCATCTATCGCTACTCGCGAGAGCATAAAAATGGGATCTGACCTAATAACTCAACAACCTGAAGTCTCAAGACTTTAAAACCATGCTCTACCCCACTTAATATGATGATTCTGACCATTTTAATGCCCAAGATGAGCGCTTAGCTCCAATCAGAAGCTGAGATATCTTGAAATAAATGTAATAATTGTTACTTGCGAGGCTGTTATATAGTAAAATCGGATTTTTGGCGATTTCTCAAAAAATAAGTCTCTTAGGCCTTAAGTATCTTCATAGCACTAATATAAACATGCATCCTGGGCACATTTTGGTTCATGCCTGAGGTCTGTATCTCAATCAGAAGCCGAGATAATTTATAGTTGGGGTCGCGATATGGGTGCGGTCAAAAAGGGCGTGATTCCGAGAAATGCCCCACTGGTGAAAAAGTGTACCCGAGTAATTAGTGTTATTTAGGACCATATAAGTCGGATTACATCGAGAAACCGAGCGGACGTCCCAATGTGAGCAGGACTTTTGCCTGGTCCAGGATTATTAAGGCTAAATTTATCATTAATCCTTAAATGCTTACTTTCACGACGTTACAAAAAAAATCAATCCATCGACCAATAAAACCAGTTTCACTGATACCGCAGATTTTAATAGTCTTTCCCTCGATATTTTGATAGTAAGAAACGTTTATTTGTCTATCTTAAGCCATTCACTGTTAAATAAGTTTGTGCCTATATAAAGTCGGTATATTAATCTGAGATACGAATAACACAATCTAACCATTAAACGCTGTCAAATGTTGCCATTTTATCCCTTTTTGTACGTCAGAATAGTTTAAACCACGCAATATAAACCGTCTCAGAATACTATAAATAGCCATGATAGCACCAGTGTACCCCACCTTCAACCACACAATAAGTTGATCATCAATAAACCGTTAATATTGCGACATTATCTTGACATTTTGTTAAGCTGGGAGCAATTAGATAATAATTGTAGATACTAATATACTAGAACTGGCCCTCTTAAGATCACAGTTCGAAGCTAAATAGACGGTACTGTCACATGTCTTCGCAACAGGGTGTTGCTCACTAAAGTGATTGTGCAACTTTGACAGCTGATTTAAAGCCACTGCACACATGCAATCTGCATTCTGCCTCCCTTCTAAAACCTTCCTTAAACTTGACAAATGGAGCTAAATGATGTCGACGTATTTCAGGGAAGGTCTATGTCGCATTAGCGTGATATTAAAGCTCATCCTAAATCTAAGCTCATCGGGGTTCGAACTGTGCAGGACCTTTAGATGGTTTGATGAAAAATGTAGTTCTTCGACAGATAACGTTTCTTTTGTTGTTACTTATTGTAGTGGAGGGCGGGGCGGGGAGGGGCAATTATAAAGCCACGGCATTAGATCTGTTTAATGTTCGTACCAAACTCTCGATTACTATTAGCACTACTTGTTGATTGTTCTTATTTTACGTTATAATTCGCCATTATAATTCCAATATTTCTCATCTGATCAACCAATCATTATTTGTCATGAATAAATCAATATAATTGCGTTGGTTGCCATGGTAACTACTAATTCTGTGTTATCTATCAAGACACCCGTCATTTTGAGAGGCAGTAATATAAGTAAAAATGACGAGTTGTAGAGACGGTGTGGTCATGGTAACTGTATGTCACGTGACATAAGTAACTGCACCTGCTGCTCCATAGATACAGTGGTTATCATGGTAACCATGTTAGCTGTACAGCAGCCGGTATGTTTGTCCTGCTAGTTGTTCTCGTCAACAGTTCCTTATCTAGTAGTGTAATTAATTTAGTGATATATTTAATGTTGTCCGAGGTGTTGTAGTCTTCCTCGCGTCCTAAGATTGCGTTTATCTTGTCTCATATCATGGTATTACTAGTTTTATCCCGGTCAAAATTTAGTAATAGTACTGGTTGAGCCGGAATCATCAACTAAGTGTAGTATCTTAGTGCTACTATATTAACCATAAAGTTTACACGGGCAAGCAACTTTAGTTGTGGTTCAGTGTGCCCTAATTCGTCCTACTTTTAATTGCTACTCTTTAGAAAACCCACAAATGGAAGATTTGCAGTTTCTTAAGTCTCGGCCATAATTGGCATTTTTCGTCGGGACACCCAAGAAGTTTTGTCTCCGTTAAAAGGTCGCCGCCCTTTCTTAAGTCAAGAAGAATGGCAATAAAGAGCTAAATATGTACTTGTAATGATATCGAATGATGTATTCGAGCGTTTCCTATGGCAGTCTTGAAATAGCTTTGCTAGATTTGTTTGTATTCGGTCGTCTTGTTTTCTCAAAAGTTTATAGAAATTACAGAACATCACAACAACAGCTGTCCAATTTGAAGGTGTCAATTTGTGGAAGTAGAAGCAGTGATTTGCAGGCCATGTAAGGTGTTCTACGACAATTGTCCTGGTAACCACATAGTATGATAGTTTGGTAGTTTCTCAGTTTCGTGGATTCGATGGAGTTTTGGTGGTCACAACTCACGTGAAATCATGCGTCGTTAGATAAAAACCATGGCTACTATGATTACCATGGTTACAGTGGCTACCATGGTTACCATGGTTACCAAGGTAAGTGATCACCACACATAACTCACCGGATAACTCACCCCGTGAATCTCAGTCAGAGAATATGTTTTGTCGCCGAGCCTTCCTGTTTTGTTGGGCAATACCTTCTGATTGGGTAATTGCCGCAACACTGCCTTCTTATTGGGTGTTGATCGGAGGGCAGTGATCTTATTATATATTGGTTATATTTTATTGGTTAAGCAGCAATTTGATTCATCTCCTAACCAATTATTGGCGGCGGAAACAATTCTTGCTAATGGTTTAAGAGTCTCTCTGCACACTGCAGTGTTAATGCGAGAGGAAGTTGAAGGCGAGATCACTACTTATATAGCTCAACTTTGAAGATCTTATGATAAAGTACATATTATGTTGTTTGACGAGGTTTGTTTGCAGCGATGTTCTGTTTCGTAGCCACCGCCGCCTTTTGGGAACCAGATGAACTCAAAACATGTCGAGATTTTGTCTCGAACAAGCTTACTCGAAAATTATTCATTAATGTAATTTTATTGTGTCCAGACGATATAACGATCAGGTTCTATTTTAGTAGGAGGAATTTGAGGACTAGCAGTGGTTACAGTAACCAGGAAAAGTAGCAATAAGGAGTAGAACAGTAGAGCTAACCTTGCATTCAGCATTAGAAGCCCTTAATAAACGAAGTATTGGTGACATAGTACGTGTGTAAGTAGCGGGTGGTGGAACTTGTGATAAAGACACCTTAGAGGCTCAGACGTTAAATAATATGGCCTGTTATAGAGTTCTCTTCATGACGCACAATGTCAAAGTCTTCAAATATATTGAGTGTAAAATAGTTTTAAGTGGCTTTTTTGGTGACATGCAGTAGTGCTTTTAATGCCGTTGGTCATAGTTCGGGCAGTTTTTGTTGAATGTTCAGTTTAGTTCACGTATGCAAATGTGTTTGGGCGCCCAAGCATCATGTACACATGAACGTGCAACAAAATGATCCGCGCCACGTTTTTTAATTCGCCAGGCTCATGTCTCGTTTTGTTGGACTGTACCAGTGTTTTACACTCGTGTAAGTTTTATAAGTTGACTGACCCTCCAAGTGTACCCATTCTCAGTTGTTTCCTCATTCTCCTCATCTCCTTCTTCCTGTACCGCAGTTAGCGAGCCTTCCTCACCCGCCACATTCTCTTTCTCTTTCTTTTTGTATGGTTTTAACTGTGCGCCCATGCTCACCTGAAAATAGGCGAATGTGTCAGTTATAGAGTTAATATAATCTTCAAGCCGCTGAAATAATGAATGCAGTAGTACCCTGATTTGGGGAATGGAAAATAGTACGGTAAATCGGGGTTTACGGTGAATCGCAGTTTTGATTTTCCCAATAGGTCATAAGATTTCATGGTTCCTCTGCGTATTTTTTCTCAATCAGTGTTTAATTTTGAAAAGCACCGAAGCGTTTTAATACGTGCTGGCATAATTTTTGAAAGATTAATCATAAATTCGATTTAATTTAATCTCCTTAAATTCTAATTCGATCTTAAGCTTCTAAGCAAAACTGACACATTCATTCATTTTGGATGATGAAATCAAAATTAGCAAAATACTACGTGGACGACAGTTAACGTCAGATTACAAATTTCCAGAGACGGATTTGTTCGTTTTTAGCTCCATTGCATATTCCCAAATGAAATGGTAATTAATTATCGTCACGAGGACTTTTGAAATCCATGTACTTATGTAAAAGATCAGTATCTAGAAAAAAAGTGTCGAATTACCATTGAAAATCATCTTGAAAGTGCATACAATCCTTATTGTTACAACGTCCTTTCTGCAGTTTCGAGTATTTACGGTCATTTTTGGTAAATTTCCGTGTATTTTACTGTCAATCTCAGTTATCAACGTTATACAACGTGTCAGACGTCAGTCATAAAATGCCTGATCTAGATTATTAGGCTTCCGTTTACCGATCAGTATTTGAATGTAGATTTCATTTCTTTGATGAAAAAAAAGTTCTTTGATTATACTTACTTCCCTACGTCCAAGCCTCTTTTTCGTGTCCTTCCTTTATTTTAAAAACTTTGTAAAAGAGAATACCATAAAGTTCATTATAATTTATATTATATATAATTTATAAAGGCCGGTAAACGGTTTTAAAATGAAATGTCAGATATGGTCAAATTAGAGTCACTATGTGGTCGGTTAACCAGAAACCCTTTAAATTGAAAATCACCATCAAAAGTTATTAGTCAAGGCCAAGATTTCCTGTCAAATCTGTCTGATTGTATTGATATCCTTGAAAAAGGAAGTGGAGTCAACCAACTGAACCAAGAGGCGACGGAGAGAGCCACGAGCGGTAATATGTCAGAATCTGTTAAATCAACCAGCCACCTACGTAACTATATCGTCGGGGGCACGATCATCTTATGCAAATTTGAGGATTTAGTATATCACCAGTTCCCTGTTGGCTTTAGTTCTGCCGCTCGGCGTTTATGTTATACTTACATAACTTCTTACGAATTAAAAGATTGGTAAGATAATCGGAAATAACAATGTTTTGTGAACTTAAAACCTGATAAAACTATTTTCCCCGGCTAAATTAAATCATGTTTTATTGTAAAACAATTGCTCACCGAACAACGTCAACAGAATGCTCGATTTAACCTGACGATATAATCGACATTTTGATCTACAGCAATATTCAACTATGCAGCATATAGCAGATAAGATAACACTTAGAGGTACATTGTACAATTTTCATAGCTAGTAAGTTATGTCCAACTTAAGGTTAAGACTGGATCTGAACGAGTCATGTTAGGGCCCACGAAATAATTGCCACCGGTATTTTGTCCCGACGTGAATATCCTGCACCTTTTGAACATCCTCGATATGCTTGAATCTCAAAAATGGCGAGCTGGAGGCCAGTCTTACAGGTTCTAGTCCAACGTATCAGAGCTACTTTAGCTAGTGAGTTATGTCCAATTTAAGATTAAGACTGGATCTGGACAAGTCTACAAAATTTTAATAATAAAACTTACTCTAGCACTCTCATTATTCCTCAGTTGGCCACTCTTTAGAATCCATTCTATAGCTTTTCTCTTGGAACTGAAGTGTTGTGGTCGCCTCTTCAGCACTCCCTGTGGGCAAAAAGCATTATAACATAATTGTTTTATTAATACTTATCAACTAATAAACAGACCCCGAATCAATGCGCAGCAAATTGTTGTTGAGTTGTCAGCGAATAACAAGATATTCCTAAATAGTTATGATGATGTTCCCCCTTGTCTGATAAGTTGGTATTAGATGTTGAACGGAGGGTCATTTAAGGTCATATAATAATATCTATAAAGATAGTAACCAGATAGTTACCACGCACATCATAACGACAATACATTGACACACGATTGAATTTATACATTAGCATTAATTGGCCTGTTTCACGCCAGGCAAGTTAGATTATAGAGGTTACACAGATTGTGCTATAATTTGTCTATTGTGCTTTAATTTGTCAATTGATGAGCCAGATTACAATCTAGTCTCATTAGTTGAACAGCTGCCATTTTGCGATAGTTTGCTAATGTTTATAATTTTTGTTGACTGTTTCTGTTAGCCGGTATTAATCTTATTCGTGATTTAATTTTGGATTGCAATTGATGGAAACAGAAAAATTAGTATTGCTATGACATAATATCATGTTTAGCTGTAGCCCTTTGCACAACACCCAGAGTTTACGAATAAATTATAATTGATAATTGATAATAAAGTAGCGAAATTGAGATTTGAGTAATTTACCCTAGTTTAACTGTAAAATTACAACTGCTCATTTGGTAATATTAAACTATCTATATCTAACCACCCCTGCAAGTGCGTCAGGCACCAATGGCCCAGCAACCCCTGGAATATTCTATCTAAAATGGAATAATCCGTGTCGCTAATTTCAACCACAAGAACTATCAGTATCAACCTTTATGTTCACCCAGAAATTCGAATTTAACACCTGTCTGTAACCTAACGTCATGGAAGTTTCAATTGTTCTGAGTTCACTGTACAAAACACGCGAGGTACCAAAGCACGTGGCATATTTGATCAGGATATTAATAGAAGACACGACATATTTGTGACGTTAAAGCGAGAGAGCTGCCACTGTAGTAGCGTCAACACGATTACTCATAACTAACTTCATTTAAAACCCTGTTCTACCATTTCAGGTCTCAGTTGTATCCTATCGTGTGTTTCTTTTGTGTTTTTGTGGGAGTAAGTGATATGGTATCTATTTGTCAGGTAGCACTGCCAAGAGGTTTTAGCTCGGATACAAGATTGATATTATCAAAAATGTTTTTTATATTTTGGAATAATATAATTATAAAGAGAAATGATGAAAGCCCGATAATGGATGAAGTATGTTTCATCTCCACTAGCCAATGCTACTTACTTACTTACGCTTAATGAAATATGCCCATTTCTTACAACTCAATTTGGCACATTATAAATCAAGGTACAGTGTAATAATTTGTCCCGATTTAATCTCAGGATATTCTCCTTATATTACAGCAATACTACAGTAATGTTCAGACGTATACTACCACGTGACATGCCCTTAACCCCCACGTGACACCGGACAAAGCTTTATAATGAAATAAGAAATGAAATTTAAAGTGGAGATATTATATGGTGAACAATTAGATTTGAAATTATTTGCCAGACTACCCGCTATGCTCCTTAACCTGACAATGTGCGTGGCACCTTGAGAATCTGTAACATTCCCATCATTGATACTGTCACAGCTTGGTATTGGATATTCTAGTCATGTTATGGGGGAGGACGTGTTCAAGACATCACTTTCTCCTCCCAGCGTATTTATTACATTTAAGTATAGACCAAATAAAAAGGACAGGACTTTACTGGGTGATATTGAGAACGTAGCTAGATATATTGGTGGGTTCTAGTTGCAATTATATTGAATTTAATGTATTTCAGTAAATCCTGAAGGATTAGAATCTATATAATATTTCTGATATTAGGATCTTCATGATCTTAAGAGCAGGCACCTGTGATAAATTAACGCGTTTGAGTAAAGTAAATGGTTGATAGATTCATTAACTTGCAAGGCGCCATGCCATGGATATAATACGTTGTGCATCTTGCATAATATAATCATCAGAGACGAATATCAAGGAGTCATAACTCATAAGACAGCTCTCATAAAATGAGATGCCTGGTAATTGTTAAGTGTCAATGTGTCACCTCAAGTTGCAACCCCTATAATCCCGTTGTCGTTCAATCAATAATCACGTCGGGAAATGAGCATTGCATTGATCTGCGTTTTGTAGCTACTAGACCTTGCTAAGACCGACATCAAAATCACTTATCAGTGGAGATTTAGGCGCTGTTCTTGCTTGTTACCTTGTCATTATCTGTGTTACGTCACACTTTGATCTGCTTCTTGACGTTATCCAGACGGCACTGAATTGTGTTTAACAACCAAACTTGGCATAACCTATTTGGTTATATGTTATGACAGTTGTTGTTGAGAATTCAGATATTGACAACTTGTATTTCAGAACTCCTCGACATTACTCAACATGCATTTTAGGGAGTAACTGCACTGGAGAAACGGCATTTTCGATATAATGCGCTGTCCCTTTGCGCAGATTAAACGATATTATTTTGTAGACCAAATACATTTGACATCTGTCAGTCTATCATGTTTATGGTCCACACTCCACAAGATATATCACTTGTTCTGCAACTATACTGTTTTCTATTTGAAATATCTGACTAACCAAATTTAAATTTGCAGGGTTATGACAAATAGGAACCTGCCAGCAAACCTAGAAGTGTACAGTCCCCTCGGAGGAAGCATCCTCCTTCTTTGTACCCTGACTTGTGTAACTGGCAACATTATTGCTCTCAAATACTTTCTAGCGCACAGGAAAACCCCCTCAGCCCTCAGCTACATCTTCATTAGTTTCAACGACCTCATAATCCTAGTGCTGCTTCTACCGCTAGAGTTATCCCTGTTCACTGGCACCGGCTATTTAAGGAGTCCCACAGGGTGCAGTATTTGGACCTTTGTGTGGAGCGTCAGCAGGCGGATGACAAACTTTCTGGTGATGTGGATACTGGCATGTAGGATTGTGACTCTGATGTATCAGTTCAAGTATCTGCGGGCAGCTAATATTTACATCCCTACTATTTGCTATCTGGTGGTGTTACTAATACAAGGTATTGTTCCAATTGCTATGAGAGGGTACACAGTGGAATCATGTGACTTGACTTCAAGTAACTCTGTTTTTAAAACTAATAGTACAGTGTTTAAGGCGGTGTATTTTACGTTGGATGTTTTGGAGTTTGCGCTACCTGTTGTGGCAGATAAATTCATGGTGGTCAGTGCTCTAGTGTTCATCAAATCAGGTACAGGGTTTTTCGCGGTCTTCATTGAAAAACAATCTATCGATAAATCTTTTATTTCATTTTACCCTTTTTATATGCCTACATAACCTTGAGCTAGAGCAATTTTCTCTCAATAGGTATTTTCGGCGGGTACTCAATCTCCCAACTAATAGAGCCTTATTTCCAGGTAACCAAGTGCTTGGTAAGATCCACGTGCCAGGCCTCTCCACTAAGACCAAAGTAACGATAACAGTTCTCATCATGGCTTTTCTCCACGTGATCCTCAACCTCCCTTACCTCGTATACCTCTTCATCTTCTACACCAACACCACCTCTCCCAAGACGGGGTATCTGAAGCTAATAGTGGTGGTGGTGCTTCCTCTCATCAACTGTATTTCTAACATCTCCGTGTACTTCACCCGGATGGTAGCACTCCGGATCAAGCTGATCCAGATGGTAACTGTCAGTAAAATCTACGGAAGGTACGTGACAGACTGGTTGAAGATGTTGTGTCATGAGAACAATAGGGTGGTCCCAGCTGCTACAACTCAAGTGTTGGGCGGGTCTATTGTTAGTGCACCTAGACCGGGGGATGAGCCGGCCACTGTGCCGGTGAGACAGATGAAGAGTATAGAGTTGACTGAGATGGTGGACACTTGGTTTGATGGAGAGTTGGCAGGGGAGGAACAGAGGAGGTATGTGAACTATTTGTACAACGGGGAGACCAGCTCTGGGGTACATAAGAGTCCTATTAGGACTCATAATGGGATGAATGGGAAGCGATTGTAACCGTAAAATTGTTACCAGAGAGTTCTTCACAACTGGAAAACTTTGTCTTGTTTGTTTGTATGACCAGACGATAAAACATTTGATTTTTTAGAGTCTCCAAGCCGTGAGGAAGAGACAACTGATCTAATGATCTGATGTTATTAGATGTTTTTTACTCCTTCAGATGCTTAGAGTAGAGTTAGTAATAGGTTTAAACTGCATGTATTTATTAGTGTATCATAGATTAATTTGTTTAGATTTAATACATTTCAGTTTTTTTGTGTGTCTAACAAATCATGAATATAATTATTGAGATCTTCTGTAAACTATGATGCAATCTTGCAACAATTAAGCTAATTTTCAAAGATGCTATAATCAAATATTTGTCACTTTTACGCTCGCAAGGAAATTCGATCTAACTGGACTCATATTATAATCGTTTAACTTAAACATCTTAATGGTCAGAGGAAGTCAGTAAGCTCTCAAAGTTATCTCAAGACTGTAGAAGGTGCAAATCTTGGTTAAAGTAATGTTTTCTAATATGGAAGACATTGACATTGCTCAATCATATAAAATAATAAACAGGGGTTATTTATTTTCCATGCGGCGAATTTCCCCTACGCAATAAAATAGATTGGTTAAACGTGTTTGGTCAAATGTCCAATACTAATTAAAGTACTTTAAACCCCAGCAACCAATTTGAATATACCAGTGTGTTACCTGCATGGCACTGAGGGCGTCCATAGCGGAACCTTCTACCACATCAATAACAACAATACCACGTATATTGGGAACAAGCTTCTGATCAGCTACTCTGAAAATAATATGGTAGGAAACAAATAGTAATGATAAATTTTGTCTTAACAATCAGGAGCATTCAAGCAATTCCAAATGAGCAAATCAATTCTATACTAAGCTGTACCAAAATGTGAAGTGAAAAACATACCCCCCCACCCACCCCCCTGTTTTGACCTAACTGTACCTGACGGCCACTGCACCTCCCATACTGTGCCCCATAAGAATAACCGGAGGTCTGTCCTCAGGATCAGGATACAAGGCCTCCCACACTCTGCCCACATCTGCTGACAGAGTCTCCGCTGAGAGATCCTGGTCGTTATCTGTCTCCGTGTCTCCGTGTCCTCTTTGATCTATTGCTACTACCTGTAGAGGGTGGGAGGTGAACAATTTATAAGGTTTATAGTTAGTATATATATGCAGTTTTAGCTAGTCACTTTTAAATACATTACAACATAATTAAGGAATATTTTTTTCCCGATCCGAAGGCACAAAAGAGTTAAGGACAAGGATAGAGGTGGGTTTTTGCATATTATGGCACTTGGCAGCTTGTATGGGCTCACGGCGTAATGAACGGCTGTCATGTCGCTCGCGCTGCACTGGTAACACGTGCACATCTGTTGTTGCAAACTTCGCAAAGGTATTTTTACGCCATATTCAAGATTGAATTATTGTTGGTGCGCGGCGCTTATCTGGTCAAGCAAATCGTCTATTTTCACTATATGTACAATGTACGGACTACGGATCCCACTCATTTATGAAAGATGTAGTCAAGTGGCGGATATGAAAATACGTTGCACTTTATTTCGAGTTAGTATTATTATGTATTGTTATGTTCAGATCCGTGTCAGATTTCATAAACTGAGGGTTGCATAAAAATAAACATTATTTTCATATTCATAATAAATATGGGATTTACTGGGCGGTGCTCAGCCGTTCATATTTTTCTGTTTATGAACACTAAAGCCTGGGGTCACCAGGTAATAATTATGAAATATGCTAAAAGACGCCATCACGGATCAGGAAATTGAGTGGCCATTCGCAAAAGAAAAGCGGCCGCATTTCTTGTTGCAATTCAAGCTAACTGATTCATAATTAAATTAATTACCGTCACGCTGGCCCGTTGTGTTAGCTCAGCAGTAAAAAGAGCCCACGATAGTGAACTGTGTCCTCCTCCGTGTAGACAGAGAACTGTTGGTCCGGAGCCTGTAGTGTACACACAGAACTTATCTCCTCCTGCCTGCACGTGTTAAAAGGGGTTTGGTGAAAGAGTCATCATAGTCAAAATCGTCTTATCTTGATCCAAAAATTTCAAACATTCACAAAAACACTGATCCATGGATAAAATGTATAGTAGATTAAATATGATCACTCGATGACCAAATCATGTTTTGGTCCTTTTTTCGAAGTCACGGTTAACTTGCGAAGTTTACCTCAACACTCTTCTTAGAGGTGAAGTAGTCAGACCAAGGCAGCTCACTAAAACTTCTCTTTCTCTTGGGACGTTTATTGGGTTTGTTGAACGTTCTGACAGGACAGACAGGTGGTCCAGCGTTAGGGAATGGGAGTCCACCTGGACCAGATCCTGGGAGGCGCATATTACTAAAACTCATACGATTAATACTCTTCTAGACTAAAAGAAAACTTTTTTTAATTTCCAAATTAAGTCAGCTACATTAAAGGATCGTGAGCCTAGTCGGATTACCTTGTTCGATGGTCGGGAGTACCGCAGGGGCTATTCCTGGGTCCATTGCGTCAGGGTGATAGCTTGGTCTGGAGGCAGCAGGAGGAGGAGGACCACCGCTTGACCGCTGAAGCTCCTTTAATCTCTCCATGACCTTATTTTAATTGTTAGTGATTAGTAAAATATCAACTTCTGCTCAGAATGTCAGGACATAGTTATCGAACACACTTACATATAATAATAATACTTATATATTATACAGGTTGTCATATAAATGATATTTTTACGTCATCTCAAACTTAAACATCTGGCAACTACTCATCGGATTTCAAGAGACATAATATTGATTGCGAATGACAAGCTCCATGTGTTTACTACCAGGATGAAATCGAACACCCGAGTAAGGCAACTTCAAAGAGAATGAATAATACGATTGTCATAAATGTAATTATAAAATGCCTTAAAATGATCGTTTCAAATATCAATTATTTGCTTAAAGGCAGTGACGCTAATACGATTAAGCATCATTTGATGGTGTATTGCTTGAAGACAATTCAAAGTTGGTCAAATAGCGACAAGTTGTTGCTGAATCCCAAACAAGATGATATTGAGTACCCTAATAGGGTCACCAAACAATCATATAAAACTGAATAATTTGAAAATAAAATACTGTGATCAGAATCCACGGCTTACCAGGAAACAACCACCACGGAAGTGTTAAGTAACATGGTGGTGAACCCTCGTGTTAAACTGTTCTCGTCAATACAAAGTGATAAATCACGTGACAATCTTAAAACCTAAGGTTTCCACAGTTTAAGGGTGCCATCCTCGGAGAAGGTAGCAATAAGGTTCTGATGAGGATGATGAGTGATCCCAATGACTTCCTTCTCGTGCACAGTTAGAGTCCGCTCCAACTTGCCCGTACTAACAGAGAAACAATACAACACGTGATCCTCCCCCACACAGTAGATCCACTCCCCCCGCGGCGACAAGGTACAGCACACAAAGTCTCCTCCTTGACGTTTACCCGAACTGAAGGACTTGACAATCTGACCCTGCATGTTCATGATGGAGACCGTGTTGGTCCGGTTACAGACCACAAACTGCTCGGTGTTCCGGGGCAGGAGATGGATACTGTTAACGGTGATCTCTGAAGCGGAGCTGCCCAGAGCTGGTTTAAACGTGTTCATGGTTTCTGTGCTCTTCAAACTCCACACTTTTACTGTTCCGTCTGAGCTAGCACTGATGATGGTGTGCCCGTCTGCTGTGAACTGAGCCTCGTTTACAAAGGAGGAGTGACCTCGGAACTCTTTGAGAGTTTTACCAGACTTCAGGCCGTGAATCCTAATGGTCTGGTCGAAGCTGGCACTGAGTAACTGAGAACCGTCCCGGGAGAAGGTGATACAGGTCACTCCCGCGGTGTGAGCCTTTTCAAACCTCCTCAGACACTGACCAGCCTGGATCTTCCACACTTTGATTCGGCCGTCCTGGGAGCCAGTGGCTAACATCTCGCTGTCCCGGGAGAAGTTCATGCAGCTCACTGCGTCGTCCATTAACATGAACTGTTCCTGGGCTTGGTACCGCAGATCCTTCCTTATCTTACCTGAGGATGAGGGTGTGTTAGTGTGAGTAATGATATGACAATCGGATTATTTGTAGCAGTGAAACTTTGAATTCGGGGTGACAACTGCAATATAATTTTAAAGAAATACGGCCGCTTTCTTTTGTGGATGGCCGCTCAATTTCTGATCCATGATAACGTCTCTTATCATATTCCGTTTTACCTGGCTTTAGTGTTCGTAAACATGAAGATATGCAGGCGGAGTGACAGGCTGAGCGCCGCCCGCGCCCAGTACATTACATATTGACTATGGGAATAATTTGTATTTCTATGCAACCACATGTTTATGCAAGCTGACACGGATCTGAACATGATAATAATACTAACTCGAATAATTTACCCATCCGCCAGTAAACTACATCTTTAATAAATGAGTGGGTTCCGTACATGGCGAAAATAGACGATTTAATTTGCTGGACCAGTTTGGCGCCGCGCACCAAATATAATTCTATCTTGAATATCGCGCAAAATAACTTTGCGACGGTTAAGAATGCAATCTGTGATCATGCGTGCGCTCTCTCCTCACTTTTATGTTTTTCTAGCTGCGTAATGTCCGGTCTCTGCTAAACGTAGTAGTCAACCAAGGTGCTTAATTATATAACTTGTACTATGTCAGGATCTATATGACTCCCTATACTAGAACACATTTTCCACAACTTCGTCCGATATATCCGTTTTATTGTGTCGGATCTTTTAGTTTTAGAATCAGCGGCCAAATCCGCTATTATCGCTATTCTGGCGGCTGTAAAAGTAATAGTCCGTACTTTTTCCTATCTTAGTATCTTGAACATCGGTGTGTTTAGATATTTTTTGTTGATTATTATATTATCTTTGCATAATTTATTAACAATTTGTTATTTCTGTAGGTACCTATGTGAAGAGATGGGAACGTTTTAACCAGGTTTAGTCAGTCCAAACCCTAACTACATAACATGAAAGGCCAAGGTTGTGCTGAAAAACATTATCAGAGATAGGACTTCTCCTAGCTTTAATTGCTGTTCTTACAGCGATGGGATGCCTCATCAAAGCTATCATCATTACCCTGCTGACAGTGATTAGATTTCTAATCAAGGGCAGCTATTAAGATGGTAGTATGGGTACTACATCAACGATGATTAGAATAATCCTACTCATTTGTGCTCTAGGCATGCGCCTGAACTCAGACAGTCAGACGTAGTGGTAAAATTGGCCCTAATTCATATAGCGGCAGAAACTATGGAGGCCATAGTCTTAACACTAGTAACAGCATGGGACTACAATGCCCTGACATGCATCCTATCAGCGGCTCTCCAAATAGGGTGGATGCTGGGCGGTGGAGCCCACACCAGCACCAAAGAGGAGCGTGGACCAAAGTACGCTGACATTACTCCAGAAGACGCGGAGCTCCTCATCCAAAAAATCAAACTGTGGGGACAACACCCGCCAACATGAACAGTGGAGATGTTGGTAAGATTGATGGTAAGATTTATTTTCTTGATTGAATAGATTTCCAGATAGCGAGCAGAAGTTCATACTTCATTACTTCAAACGCAAATTTTTTAACATCTTTTTGTCAAACCTTGAGGGGGTGAACTTAGGATAAACAAACTTAGTCAGACTGTTATACACTTCAAATTAAGAAGTTAACTTTATGTTCATTTCAGATATTCATAACTCCTCACTCCTGAAAAACAACCTCATAATTTAAAGTATCCATGCTCCATGTTCTACATCGCAGAGAAAACCAACCGGATGAATATTATCTGCTTGGATACTGCAACAAACTGGATAACTGGGAGCGTCTCTTAGAAAGATCCTTTCGAGGCAGAAACACTGCACTTCGTCAAACAAGTCATCGACAATCCCGACACATGTGACAAAAGGAAACAGAAGAGATGCAAGAACCTTTGGAGGCCATAGTCGTAACAATAATAACGGCATGGGACTACAATGCCATGACATGTATCCTATCAGCGCGAGGCGCGAGCGGTTCCCCAAATAGGGTGAATGCTGGGTGGTGGAGGCCACACCAGCACCAAAGAGGAGCGTGGACCGAAGTACGCTGACATTAATCCAGAGGACGCGGAGCTACTCATCCAAAAAATCAAACTGTGGCGACAATATCCGCCAACAGTCGAGATGTCTATTGAAACCGCATGGAGAAATGAATGTTAAAATCATGATGGTAAGATTTATGTTCTAATTGAATAGAATTTCGGATTTCCAGATAGCAGAAGTTCATTACTTCAAACGCAAATTTTGCAATGTATCTTTATTTAAAGCCTTGAGGGGGTGGACTTAGGATAAACAAACTTAGTCAGACTGTTAATGTGTTATACATTTCAAATTTACAATTAAACTTCATGTTTATTTCAGATAAATCATGAAGTTTAACGAACAACAACTCCTCACTCCTGCCTGATGAACAACCTCCTAATAAATTATACATGGTCTACGTCTCAGAGGAAACATCGATAATACATGAGTAAATAAATCATGATGTGTTTTGTTTTACAGTGAGTGGAGCAGCAATCTATTATGGTCGACCAACTGAAGACTCAAGAGGGCGAAAAACGAAGCTTACCTTACGAGACATATTTATACTCGACATAATTCCGGTGATATTATATATATATATATATAAATATGGGAATTTTTGCCGAAAATCAACTCATTTCATACCACAAATTAAATCATGGTATTTGGGGATTTCTTTCATTTCTTTATTTTACAGAAATAAAACCCAATATTTGAGAAAATCAATAAAATATAATATGAAATTTCAACAATTACAACTCAATTTCTTCTTGATCTTCTGGTTCAGGGACGTTTCTCTCTCCAGTGTAGTCCCATTTGTTATAAGAATCATATTGATAGTAAATCGACAAAGTCATAATTAAAGAGAATACGTGAAAAATAATTTGGGGGAAAATATTACGGTATGGTGACCTAAATCTTGGTAGTTCGAAAATATGGTGTTTTTTTTTCGGGAAACCTCTATGAGTAATTGAGTATGAACAATCATCATTAAAAAAAGTGTTTTTCATTTTACTGATTTGACATACGTTGCATGTCATTTTTCGCGCGCATTTGTGACAAAATGTATCAATTACTGATCAATCTTTCAACGGATTATTAAACAGGGTTTTTATTTCCGAACAACGGCTTAAAATCCAATATTTGGCGATTCACAATTATTCTTAAATATTTGTTGTAATTTGAAAAAGCGGTCATTTCTCACAGTCAGATTTCACGACTTACAATAATGCTGAAAACTTCTAAGGCTTATAAATTGAATAGTCCATTTTGATCAGATTCTGCTGTTAGACCATTGATATTGATTATTGACACGCGATCCAAGATATTTTTCCATGTGCTGGTTTCCACCACAGCAATTTATTGGGCAGCCATTCTTGAGGCATTCATGTCACGTTTTCAAACCACTGCAGACTGTTGTCAGATATCAATGTTGCAATATTTGTGATAGCAGCACGCTGTAGAACTGTTTCATTGCTTGTCTTCATGAACCACTTAATCCTTAGAATCCTCCTCAGACACCTCTGATGGAACACCTTGTTGTATGGTAATTTTGGCTGTCGCAGTTCCGCATGAAAAGCCTTAATGGCAGCTGCAGACTTGTAACTATTTATATTCTAATCTTGATTAAAGTTGTTTTCTATGTTTAACGTGTATATCAGTATTTTAGCACAGTATTTTAGGGCAGATTTTAGCGTACGATATTTAGTACAGTATTGTAGTGTAGATGTTTACTTTTCACACCTCTGTTTTGGTTATCGGGAGTTTAATTTGGGATTGTTTAAAGATTGCAAACAGTTAGTTTGTAATTGTTTTGACTATCAGGGTACAATGAGGAATAGGCCAGAGAGGTCAAGAGGTGGTAGTTGAGTTTTTAGTTTATTGTTTTCGATGCAGAATTCGAAAGATTCTTCACAGAACTTGAGCTTAATGGAAAAGTAACATTGATTTCACTGTTAAAGAAAGCAGTGCAATAAAAACCGTTGTAAAGGCGGTGATAACTCTAATAGTTTCTGCACTTATAGCAGCGATGAAATCAATTGCCATGTTCATCATCGCAGCTATGAAATGTTTCATCATGTCCGCAGTAGGCATGGTTTTGGAAACGGTAGTGGATAACACCGCTCTAACTATCATTTTTGTAATACTACAAATATGTTTCCTGTTTATAAAAAAAATGCGTCTCCCTTATCTGGACAGTTCTTCAAAAGGAAATCCGTGGACTGAATATACTCCGGACGACATTGTGACCTTAATCGACTCGTTCAAAAAGTGGAGAGAAGACCCTCCCTCCGTGGTTTTCTTTGACGGTAAGATACTAAGCTATTATGTCAAAGTCAAGGTTTAACATTAAAGTGTTTGATGAATAACACGGAGACAAGACTAGGACCGAGTACGTGTTCTTTAGGAAAGATCAAACCGAAATAATAATCCAGGCCGTACTTTAAATTCATCGTCTCTTTCTTAGTTGTTAGTGCGGTAATCATAATGTTTGTTTCAGATTGAACTGGTGTCTAACACACAACCGGACATTCTCAAGAAGCCAAAGCCGCTAAGACCATCGATATTGACACGCGATCCAAGTTGCAATACCTTTATGTTTGATGCTCAAAATTTCGAATGACTGATCGTATCAAAATAATCGATTTCACCGCTGCCGGGCTATTTTGAAAAAAAAACATAGCCGACATACCAGAATTTACGTGGTGGAAAAATCTGGGTTTTTTAATGTGTTCAGGGAGCAGGCTTGCCACATAGGTCCAGTAGTTCCGAACATTTAGGCAGGGTGCTAGGTTGTGGTACACATTCAACTAGGTAGTCTTAAAGTCCGAAAATCTCCAAAGAGAGATGTCATCAGAGTGTGAGCCACTGCCTGACTAACCAGTGGATAGGTTAGTAAGACACTATCTTCTGTGTGTTGTTGAGATCCTGAATATCCATTGACCAGGGTACCAACTAATGTCTTTTGGGTCAAGGGTGGTGGGTAGTAGGACTAGGAGGGTCATCAAATCAGAAAAGGCAGACATGAGTTGATAGCAAGTGTACTTGTAACGGTTATCTCAATCTGGTATACGTTGTCTCAGTCTGACTATTGTCCGCCACTCTTTCCTATCTCCTGCTAAAATGATCACGTCTCCGATGTTGGGGATTGATCCAGTAGCGGTCATGTAGTACTCTTTAACACAATCGAACCAAGACTTACGAGGTCTACCTCCTGGATATGTTTCCATGTGCTGATTTCCACTACAGCAATTTATTGGATAGACAAGATTTAATGAATTAAATACATATTTTTACTTCGGGTTGGATGAAGATAACAGCGCAGCAGTGGATTTTCAAATCCTACGGACGTCTACACTCTAACATTGTACTTTAATGGGCGCTGTTACTTTGAAACAGTTCGCATTACTGGGGCAGTGTCGCACGTGGGCTCCTTGGTTACCATGGCGCCGTAATCTGTTGCGCAATCTGCGCATGTTTTGCACACCCGCTTTGTTGGTGAACTACACAATTTATTACGTATCAGCTATTGTTTAAAATCCTTTTTAAAAGACTATGATGATCAAGACAATTATTGGTTTCTTGCTGCTCTATGCGTTCCTTGATTTGGAACTGGACATATCTGTCAACAAGGAAGCCGCCCCTGAGTGCTCAGAAGAGCGGATTGACAATACAGTGGTAAACCAAACTGCTATCATTGATGTTGGATTTGGAATGGCCGGTGCGTTAGCTCAAATGGGAAAAAGAATCGATGCAGAATTCGAAAGATTCTTCACGAACCTTGAGCTTAATGTAAAGATAACATTGATTTCAATGTTTAAAAAAGTAGATGCTGCTATAAAAACGATCATAATAGCTATCTTGAATACAGTTGAAGCAGTTATAAAATCAGTGATGCTCGCGGTGTTGACCGTGCTGAAGGCAGCTTTAAAAGCCTTGTTTATCGCCTTGTTTAATGCAATAAAATCCGCTGTAAAGGCGGTGATAACTCTAATAGTTTCTGCGCTTATAGCAGTGATGAAATCAGTTGCCATGTTCATCATCGCAGCGATAAAATGTGCTATCATGTCCGCAGTAGGCATGGTTTTGGAAACGGCATTGAATAACACCGCTCTCACTATATTTTTTGCAATATTGCAAATATGTTTCCTGCTCATGAAAAAAATGCGTCTTCCTCATCCGGATAGTTCTTCAAAAGGAAATCCGTGGACTGAATATACTCCGGAAGACGTTGTGACCTTATTTGACTCGTTCAAAAAGTGGAGAGAAGACCCTCCTTGCGTGGTTTTCTTTGACGGTAAGATTCTAAGCTGTTATTTAAAAGTCAAGGTTTAACATTAAAGTCTTTGATAAATAACACGGAGACAAGACTAGGACCGAGTACGTGTTCTTTAGGAAAGATCAAATCGAAATAATAATCCAGGCCGTACTTTAAATTCATCGTCTCTTTCTTAGTGCGGTAATCTTAATGTTTGTTTCAGCTTGAACTGGTGTCTAACACAACCGGACATTCTCAAGAAGCCAAAGCCGCTAAGCAGATTAAGACCTGACACACCGACGAATATTTGGAGATGAAAAGCAAAGCTTCAACACATTAACATCACAGCCATAGAAAACAGCTAATAACAAATCCCTGGCAAACCTCTAACGAAGGGATATCACACCAAACAAAAATCTTCTGGTTGGCAGAAGAGCTGAGACGAAAACAGGAAAAGGCACAGAACGTTCATGTGGACAAATCTTTCTTATTCTATCATATTATTGTATATTCAAAAACCGAAAAAAAAGATTAAAATAGACAAAATCAAAGAAAAAAGCAAAAAAAACAAAATACAAAAAAAAACTTTTCTATGCAGACATTTTCATTACAATCTGCATTACTTTTCCACCTTTCAAAAAACCGGATAACTGTCTTTTATTTTATATAATGATGAATAAAAGTACAATTCCAAGTTTGCTTTCTAAGGTCAAAATTGAAATCTCTTCGAAAATAAAAATACAGAGAACCGTAGTAAAAATATCACATGACGTCATAACCATCATATGCTATCACAATTACCTGTGGTAAAGTTCCAGACTTCGATGAACCCGTCCAGAGTTCCAGTAACCAGGTATTGACCATCAGGGGAATATTTACAGCACTCCGGGTGAGACTTCCCTCCGAACTTTATTGTTCTGGAAAGCTGAGTAGGGTACTTCTCTTCCTCTTCATCCTTAACTGCTGCTTTACCTGGGAGAGAGGGGTTTAGAGAGGGAGAGAGAGGGGTTTAGAGAGGGAGAGAGAGGTTTAGAGAGGGAGAGAGGAGAAGGAGGGGCAACTAAACTATGACCAAGCAGGATAATGAAGACGAAAGTATTGAATCAGATGCTGGGCTTTAATCTTGATTCGCCTTCTCCCGTGGTAATAACAGCCATCGAATAATTTGTGACATCACATTCTTAATGCTTGACATGCTCCTTCATAAAATACATTGATTAAGTCGTCAGAATTAGATATCCGAAATTATAACCACTCGTTCCTTCGGCCACCGCGACCGGTGAATAGTTTTCGATACCTACTACTCATCCGCGAAGTAATCACATATAGTTTTAATTAGTCAACAGCCTCAGTTTGCAGCTCACTACTAACCTCTGAAGACGTCAATACTGGTGCCAGGAGGCAGCTGACCCTGGTGTTGCTGCCACTTCAGGGCTTGTCCCAACAGAGCTAACATTCTGGCTGGAGGCACCACACTCACCTCACCTGCTAGAGCCTGTAGTGGTTTTCAATTAATTACCAAGCACGGAGTTCTAATATTTTTATAAAACGACGTAAATAAGTAGCGTTAATCCCCATAAGTTACTATAAATATAATACTAACATCTAATGAACTCCAAATAAGTACAACTATTTCCCAGATTAACCCAAACTGATAGGACCTAATTGGACCCTCTAACTACATAACAAAAAACAGAACAGAAGGAGGATTACCTGAGCAATAGCTGCTCTTCTCCTCTCTTTACTGCTACCCTCAGGGTAAGCTTCTCTGGGGTCGAAGTAGCTCCTAGCTAGTAGTGTCTCTAAGTGGATATACCTGCAGAGGAGGGAAAGTCATTGTTAAAGATTGGGAGATGGCATACTGGTAATGGGCGTGTGTTTTTAGTTTTAGAAAATATGTTTATATCGCGAGTTAGAAAAATATTAATATAATTCTCCACCAGTGATAAATCTAAGTGTATTAAGAGTCAACCAACTACCATAAAATACCTATCAGGTTGAAGCTGCTTCAACATGATCATGGGATCAGTCTGTCTCAACAAGGACCTAGCAGCGCTCAGCTCTCTCAACTCTATCAGCTCCAGAACTATGTGCTCGTACAAATCTATCAACTTGTTATCAGGGAGTTTCAGGGACTGTATTGCTATGAGCACTGTGTCCCAGTGTCCGTTGTTGATGTCCGAGGTGAAGCTCTCTATAGAGTCCACTGTGTTTAGGGTTATACCTGGGGAGGGATGATATTATCTGGAGACTTATTATCTGGAGAGGGGTTCTTGAAACATATAAAGTATATTATATAATATGTATCTTAACTTGTCATCCAGGTGTGCTGATTTACTTAAAATTGCTAGATTTTTAACCAGGTAAAACTATTTCGGGGGACCCAAAACTTGGTAATCAAGACCAAGAACAACTGTGATATACATTCCCTCAAGATTGCATCCTAATAATTCACAGACAGAAACTAAAATAACAAGATAATCACCTGTTTCCTCTTGTAGGGTAGAGAAGGTACGAGGAAGGTTGTTTTCTTTGAAGTACTGGAGGACCAACCTAATAACATCTGCTGATTCTATTTCTAACGCCATCTTAACTGCTTCATTAGTGTTTAGTTAGATTTTAGTTAGTTTTTAGTTGGAGATTGGTTAGAATTTAGTTAGTTTTTAGGATTTAGTTGGAGATTGGTTAGAATTTAGTTGGTGTTTGTTTAGAGATTGGTTACAGCTAATTTAGAGATTAGATATACGTGTTTTGATAGTGATTAGTTTAGTGCAGTATCACTATTAAAGACGCAAAATAAACAAAATAATGTTACTTTACATGCAATAACTTAACAATAGGTTAATTTCTGTACAATATCACAAGCTAAACTAAGTAAGGGTTAAAAACATGGCTAAAGATCTGATTTACTACATGTAGGATAAATAGTATTACAATTACTTTACACAAATATTATTATTATATACATCTGCTTATAAAAGTCGGTTAATAAAGGTTCTGGTATGTAAATATGTCTGAAAATAAATAAACAGTGGTATAATTAATGAGTATAAAAGGATATTCACCCAGCTGAAGTGCTCTAATAAAATAATGTAGATTTTAAAGCCGTAACTTTAACGACAAGTGAAAAGGGACTGGATATACCTCTCATGACTAGTAATTGGTCATTGCCTTTGGTTGCTGAATTTATTTACTATAACCCAGGCCAACCAAGATACAATACCTGCTGCACCCCTTTTTCTCTCTCTCTCTCTGCTCCATCCCTTTCTCTATTTACTCTTAGTATCCCTACTGAAGATACACCTGGAGGTAGCATTCTTACACTTCATGGTAGTTATCATGAACTCCCCTCTCAGTTCCCGTGTAACTGTCACTGTCTTCCGTCCTTCTGCTACTGTCACTAGCTTGTTGTTCATCCACTTACTTGTTACCTGGTGAGTAGGGAGCAGTATAACTATAATGTACAATGTATAAAGTATAATGTATAATGTACATACATATAATATCAAGTAGTATAGCTTGTATTGAGGACCATTCGGTTATGCTGACAGTTATAAGGTTGATGATACAATCTAATATAAAGATTTACCCGATTATTCAATAAGATATAACGAAATTATCACAGCTGAAAACGTAGAAGGTTATATAAATACAGAGTTAAAACAAGCAACACCCAAATGTAGTACTCACACTGCAGGTGTCTGATGTGCTGTCTTGTTCTTGCCACGCTTCTCCAACTTCAAAACAAGTCTCACTCACCCCTCCTCTTGTCATTATCTGTAATATTATGTGGTGTGACGTCATGACAGGTGGTGTGACGTCATGGCTCTGCGATTCTTTTTAAGAACAGCAGAAGAATCTTTTTGACATTACTTTGCACTGAAATTACATTTAAAGACCTATTTTGGATGAATTTTGGATGAATTCCGCTCAATGTAAATAATTATCACTTACGAGATGTTTTTATGCAGGGTCGGTTAAATTAAAATTGAAAATTTGCCAGGAAAGTACTTTATTAAGTTAAATTTACCATTTTTTATCAATCGTAGAGGGAAATGATAGTGAACTATCGATTATATTCGTGCAATACGATGATATTGATAACACATGGCACAGTGGCACCTCTGACTTTATATGACTGCAACTCAGTTACAGATTTTACACGGATAAAAGATACATGTAATTCAATCCTTGGCCTTCATATTAGCTATTAACTATTGTTAGCTGTAACTAATATTGCAAACTTACAACATTGAATATCCACAACTTTGTTATTCTTTGCATATGTACGATGTAAGTTTCAGTCATTTACATTTTGATAAATTGTTTGTTTTTTAAGTGTGCTTCGAGATTGTGCAACATGTTGGCTATTATGATTATGACGTATACTTGTACATTATCTGCATTTATGTGACGTCATATCTCATAGGATACGTAGCAGATCCAACGTGTAATAAAATACCTACATTCACGAATAATTTGAGGGTAACATGACATTTGTTTGTTTGTTTGTTCATGTTTATAGAACCCGTCCCCAATGAAGGGTTGTCGTGCCCAGTGTGTCCGTAAAAATGGTTCAAATAAAAAGTTTGGATAAATAAAGTAATCTGATATGCATAATTGTATTACTGTACAACAGCATATTGTTGGTGTACACGCTGGTATACACGCTTCTACATTTGTCTGAGTTCGTTTCCCAGTTGCATGTTATCATGTTTAATCAAAGAGAATATCGCTAACTCAGGGAACCAAAACATCTTGCAAAATTTGACAAAATTATGTCGATTACCACTTACTATAATAGTTACAGGTCATGTAATGGGATCTATTGGTATCTACATCGAACTTCGGGTTTCTCGACAAATGTAACGCTAAAGATGGATATTTTTGTTATGCAACTCAACATTTTTTATTATTCCTTGTGTTATCGTTTCCCATTGCTTCTAATCAAGAACTCGTAGTCAAGTACTTTGCACTGTACTATCTTCAAGAAGGATGCCACGTTATTATTTATACAGTATCAAACATATTTGACTTTCCAGTTATAGCAGTATAGTACCCGAAATCAGAATTGCCGACATTTTTACTTCAGATTGCTGTTCAGTTTTCGTGTCTAGAATGGTAGAAAAAGTGTAGGACGTGGCGGACGCAAGTAGGTCTTAATCTGGTGGAAGATTGATCTGACTTTTGAGCGAGTCGAGAAAATGCTGTCGATTGATAAAACTTCTGGTATGTATACAGAACGTGCGACGATTCGTGTAAGATAGGTCTGGGTTTCACTGGGAAGCAATTTTGCAGCATGGTATGATGATTTGGTGAGATTAACCGGTTGAAACTCTGTTGTTGTACTGCTTATAATATGTTGTTCGCTTATAACATATTGTTCGCTATAACGTATAATGTTGTGTATTCTTATATCTAAGAATTTATCGCTAAAACTTGGCAATGTTTGTCCTTGTGTTTGGTCTTTTATATCATAATCCTTAATCATAAGTGGCACCAAACTCTCAGAGTTTGGTGTGTATGATGATGGAGAAAGTTATTGTAGAATTCCAATCAAATCTGAAGCAAAAAATATCGGCATATATTTTGTCAATTCTGATCTCGGGTACTTTAAGTATACTACTATACTACCGTCTATTTTCGTATGTAGTGATGTGCTTTTCATGACCATGCCGCGCCGCGCAAATTTCTTATTTTTATACGCTCGGCTATGATATTTAACTGAAACTCACTGTTTAAATTTTAACGCAAACTTTCAACAGAATGACATTTCTTCGTCAGACATCACTTCGCAAGATACTGGAGGAAAAGGTTGGTAAAGAAGTCCTGGACAGGTATCGTAAGGGGAATGGTGATGTTGTAGGACCGGTTATGATACCACCGATACCGGATTCGAAATTTATCGACAAACTCTCAGAGGATTATGTGCGGGAATGACTGCCTCTGAAAAACGGCTTCAAGATGGATATGAAGCTGAAGTCATTTTATTTAGACGTTTTGAGGAGACACTGATAATGAGGAAGAACATGGACACAAGGTTAGAAGTTGTTATGATTATGCTTTTCGACAGAGGAAGAGGATGAGAAATCTAATTCAATCCATCGACAACTCTGTGATGATCTATGAGTTCACTGTCTTTAGCAATCTTTCTAGTGAAGAACTGGGTGGACAGTATCTATCAGACGAAACTGTGTTGTATAGAGAAGATCTCGATAACTTGGACTGGATGGTCCAACAATTTGAACTATTTTCGCCGCAGTTGAACACAGGTGTTAGAGATCAGATGAATAGCTGTCTTCTTTGTGGACCATCAAACAGAATAATAAATGGGATATCCTCAAATGTAGTTTACCTAGAAGCATCCATGACGTAAATGATAAACTCAAAAGGTCGCTGGTCACACAAAAAGCCCTGGATGAAGCTTCTTTGGGAATAGAAAAGATGAAAAATAGGAATTATCCTGAAAATTCTGCAATGGTTGAAGCCCCACATGTCTTTAAAAACTATCTTAATGTGAGCTGTTTGACAACTGAGCAACTTGGTGTTTTCGAAAGCACTGAAACATTTCAGTGGGTCGAAGGACCAGCTGGGTCTGGTAAAACGGTCGTAATGCTGGGAAAAATTGTCCATATCACTCGTTCTTTACCAGAAAAAAGAATTCTTTTGATAATTCAATGAAATAATGAAAAGTCACATGGAGTTAAAAACATGGACCGTTTATTCATCGAATTCGATTACATTTTCATAGACGACTTTCAGTTCCTTAACGACGCTATGCGTCAAGACACTCATATTCACAGCAACGTCCATAATACTATCATTAAACAAGGCCTGCTTCCAATTGTGAGATATCGTACAGATACATCAATATGGATTTTTAACGATGACGCTCAGGTCTACGGTTTTAAGCTTCCCATTCTTAATGCAAATACCGCCCAGTTGAGGGACGATATCAAGAGTACAAAGAGGCACTTTGTGACCAAACGTTTAATGGTAAATCTACGGAATTCGTACGAAATATCTACCTCATTATCAGTAATCAGAGAACATTTAATCAACACGGAATTTTATGCAGGGACAGAATCAGTTTCTTGAAACTTTCCATAAAGTATGGTGGTTATAGGACGGATAATCTGTGTAAGTTTGGGCGAGTTTCTATGTACCAAATTTGAAATATCACCTTAAACACAAAAAAATCTCCAATTCGGTGGTTTGCAGTGGTACCAAGGCATATATCTGGAGATCCAACGATACGATTTTCTTCGTAAACTTTCCAGATAGTAAGATAGCTTTAAGACAAATAATTTGTGCAAGTTTGGGTGAATTTCTATGTGCCAAATTTGAGATATCACTTCAAACACAAGAAAATAGTGCTGTCGGACAGATGTCGCTGTCGGACAGATGTCGTGTTATATAAATTAAATTATCTTACGTTTTGACTTGGCTGTTTACAGTTAGTGGTCCATTTCATCGGTTGTATCTTTTATGTCCAGATAATTATATTTATTGGTGCGATAAAATCCGACTTTTAAACAACATTCCATGTGATCTTATCTTTGACTTATCAAAATCTAGTTAAATGTATTAATCTGTATTTTATATTTATAAAATACTGAACAAGTTTGCCTAATTATGGTCTAATGTGTAATAAAATTGAAATTTGATTAAAAGCTTGATCAAAAGAGGAGATTACCCCAAGTTGTCGTTTTAATGTTAATTTTTAATTAAAAGGCAATCACTTTATACATTTATATCCTTTAGTTTATGACGGTTTAGATGGTTACCCTGTACAGATGCAAGATGTGGTGAGCTCCAAGGATAGAACTTCTCACGAGAAGCAGAAGATTCATGCTGGATAAGTGTTTCTGTGCAGAAACACGTGACACTTTTCACAATATGTACACTGTACATGCCTATCAGCTGTTATTTATCTTTGCCCAGTTTGATCCACATTTCCCAGGGTGACGTGGGCTAAGGACAGTACAGAAGACTGGGATAAGGTGAATATCCATAACACAAGGGCACGTCTTATTATATCAGATACAATATAAATGTTCAAAGTTTTCATCTTTTTATATTTAACACCGTATCAATTATACGTCTTTATCACAATTAGTAATTAACGGCAGCGCAATCTCCAACCAATATAAAGTGTGTTTTTTTAATTATTATTAAGAAACTGTTTACACCATTAAAATATTCAAAACCCCTGAAAGAAATCAAGTCATCCTAAAATGGTGATCAGTACAGATCTAGACAGCTAGAGTTAAAATTTGTTTCTCCAAGCAACTCTATCATCGGCTAATATCTTAAGCTAAGATCATTCAAAGAGTTAAGTTTTAAACCTCTACGGGTCAAATCATTCACAATAATCTTGAACAAATTCTTACGATGCGCTGCGCACCGACGCGCCCTTTACAGTTTGTTGTGACAGCAAACTTTAACGCTAATGCAGCGGGGGAGTCATCAGCACTACGCAAGATATGACCTAGGAGCTTCCACCTTGCTTTAGGGACACGATCTGATAGCTTTACTGAGTTACATCTTAGGTATAAGTTTGCATTGGATATTGTTCCATGAGGCCAATAAATGTTCAGTAATGATCTAAGGTGTTTGGCAAATGTCTAGTTTTTCTAGTGACTTTGCAGTAGGACACCAACTACTGCAATTATAAATGTGATGATTGATACAATTTGGGCTTCGTATACTGCTATCTTTCTGGTAACGGAGATATTCTGCTGAGACCAGATCTTGGTGAACGTATAGAAGGCATT